GGGCCACCTCACTCAAGGGCAGACCAGGCCAGCTGGACTATACGTATTAAACCCCCATCCCGCTCGGATGTTACACTTCTAGGGGGCCCGCACGGTCAGCGGGTCCGAGACGGGGCGCGATACCAGGCTGCTCCCAGACGGGGAGCAGGGGAGGGACCACGACCAGTTAACGGGTGGCGCTCCGCAACCTTCCAGCTCGGAGGGGACATCCCTCCTCGCCTTCCGGGGCCTCCTCGCGTTGCCCGGTGAACACCGACCAACCCCTGGATGCCAGCACTGGGACACGTATTAGACATTTCAACATTAGCACCTCAACTGCTAGGCGGCTCAACGCCATTCAATACACTCACCTGACAGCTAGGTAGACATGGGAGACGTCCGAGGCAAGGCTGGTCACCGCTCGCCACAAGGCGCACACGACGACTGCCGGCTGGCACTGACCGTAGGGGGCGGAGCCAATGGCGCAATGGGCGCATTGCGCGGCGCATTGCGCATTGGCATCCGAGCACGAATGGGCCGGGGCGCACGGTGCGCCCACGGGCAACCGTCGCATCCGCGGCCACCCACGTGCTATTCACGTGCGCGGTGCGTGTGTGACTTTCCCACGCACTTTCGACACGCATAGCGGTGTATCGATCGGGCTGCCCGCCAGCTACCGAGAAAGGCCATCGGCTGTCACGTGAGCTCTCACGCACCGCGCACGTGAATAGCACACGTGGGTGGCCAGGGCTGAGGAAGGCGATCGGCGATAAAGAAAAGGCGATGAAAAACGAAAGTTTCAAGTGGGAACTGAGATGTATATCGTTCGATAGCATTTTGCATGGAGAATCGAATGGTGTACACCACAGCTCCGTAGAGCCACCTGGAAGACCAAAAAATCTGGTTTTATTTCAGGGCATGACGGAGAGCGATGTTTGAGGCCACACCAGGGAAGAAACACTCGCTCAAGCCCGAGTGTATCATCTTTTTCCAACATACAAGTAAACTTACTCTACGATAGGGAAGAGAGTTCGTCCCTCCCTTCTCGAATTTCCTCAAAACATCCCTTCGAAAATTGGGAAATGTCACAAAATGGATCTAGTGGCAGGTAAACTAGATGTTCTCCAGAAAGTGAGTTGAACCATGCCTGCTGAACCATGCCTGCTGAGAACTGTTCAAAGATTCCACTTGAAATACAGAGGATGGGATATTGAGAGCAGAGGGAACACGTAAAGCCAGTAAGCGCTTAAAAACGAAATGAAAATCTAAGAATTCGGAAAATAACATTCATCTAATCTCACAATGTAGTGGATTAGATTGAGTACGTGGCGCATCCTGGGGTATGTTTTGAGACCCTTCTTTCTGTGTGGCGGTCAGCTCGCATAAGCGGGATTAGATACACACCACATGCGAGCAACTACTTTTTGAGATGAAAAATTGAGTGCATGCGTGGCGCAATCCAGTGTTGTGCCGCTAGAAAACTTTAGGACGGATTCTTATAGATCTCGACGAGCTGAGTTCAAGGCTGTTTTCAGATTTTGAAAATCTTAATTTTAAACCGATTTATAACGAAAAAACGAAAAAAACGCGAAATCGTCTTTGGCGCCAATTGGCGCCAAATGACACCAGCATCAAAAATGAATGTCATATTCGTAATCAGGGCATCGAATTACCCCAATAGGCAAAGTTTCGACGAAAAATGAAACTGTGAGATTTTGGGGCAGTAACAGTGGAACAGTGAGTGCCCAATCGGCAATAGGGGAAGGCTGAAAACGGTGAAAAACCAAAGTTTCAACTGGGAGGAGTAATGCATATCATTCGATAGCATTTTTCACGGGGAATCTAACGGGGCACATTTCAGTTCTGCGAGCTCATCTGGAAATGCAAAAAATCTGATCTTTTCACAAGGGCATGATGAGGAGGCATGTTCACGGCCGCAGCACGGAGGGAGCGGTCATCTGCAAGCAAGTGTGTGATCTTATTCCTACACACAAGTAAGCGTACTCTACAACTGTGAAGAAATTTCCCCGCTACCCTCCTCAGATTTCGGAAAAACCTTCGCTCAAACATTGGAAAATTTCACCAAATAGGCTAACTGTCCTGCTGAAAAATGATCTATGATTTCCATTTGAACACGAGAGGAGGAGTTGTTGAGCGCAGTCATGTACATGTTGAGTCATTTAACGCGCCGCTATGGAATAGGGACCATGAAATCTGGAAAAAAAAGCAATCGATCCATTCACAATACAATGGACATGATGTTGAATACGCGGCGCGTTCTGGAGCAACTGCTGAGACCCATCTCTCTGAAGAACGATCATGATGCATAAGCGGGATTATATGCGCACCACATTCAAACAATTTTTTCTCGAGCCAAAGCTCGAGTGCATGGCGCAATCTGAAGTAGGGCTTTCCAAAAGTTTAAAAGCATATTCTTATAGAACTCGACGAGCTGAGTTCAACGCTTTTTTCAGATTTTGAAAATTTCACGAAATTAACGAGGATTCGCGTTATTCGCGTGAATTTTCGATTTCAAACGGCGAGTACTGTAAGACTTCATCGAAGGAGTGATGGAAATGGATGAAAGTGAGGCAGAAGATGGGGAACAAGAAGCAGAAGTCGAAGATTCTGATGATGAAGACATGGACCACAACGCTGAGCACGATGACCTTCTGGAGACGGAAGACAGTGAGGAGGAACGTGATGAACAAGAACCAGAGGAGCGCGAGTCGGATGATGAAGAGTTGGATCGCAACCATATCCCTGAGGACGCTGCGCAGAGAGAAGAGAGAAGGCGACGTGCGATTCACATTGAAGAAGAGATCCGTGTTACTGAACAGGCAGCTCGCGATCTTGAAGAAATCTTGCATCAGTTCGAGAACGAGCCCCTCTGCCCACCACGGCGTTTCAACCAAGGGCAAATCACTAAGGGGTTCGAACGCTATATGAAGTGCGCCTATTGTGAGGCCATAGGGCTTCATTACTCAGACTCTTGTACCACAATACGCGACCCGTTTGCAAGAAGGGAAATGATTACACGTACAGGTCGATGTCGCACGTGTCTCGAGCGAATGTGTTCACGTGGATCTACTTGTAAGAAATACATCACGCCATGTTATTATTGCCGTGAGCGCGGCCATCACAGCTCACTATGTGATTTCCCGGAGCACAGTGATTACATACGCTCGCGTCTGGAGAGCGCACGCGAAGGGAGGATCAGATGTTTGAATAAACTACACGACCTTCAACGTGAACTAGCTTACATTGGAGTCCCTCACTGATTTGGTGCGCCGCACCCGAGTTCATACTTTTTGTTTCTGTTCCTTTAGCGTGGGGGAATATCGCGGTTATCTCACCGCGATCAAAATTTTCTCTTTGATCTTCCAATTGGGTGGCCGACCTATTGGAATCGCGCGCAATTTTATTGATTCTGGACTGAAAGGGTGGTATATAGAGGGCCTCTAAATGCTACAGGAGCTCTCATTGCTCATTTTTCTCGCCATTTTATTCTTGGTTCCTGGACTCTTCCTGTCACTGTTATTTGTTGGAGTTACTATACAGACGATTTTAATAAATTGTTATTGTTGGACAGTATCATCTCGTATACAACTATCCGCGTGGCAGCGAGAAGTATCCGCACAGCTATATATTCACATATATTCTTTTTAGTAAGTAGCTAACTCTTATTATGGGATTGAAGATCCTTACATTGTCTAGTTCATCGGTATGGCCAAAAAGTTGGATTTTCGTCGACATTATCACATTTCTCTGTTTGTTTTTGCACAAACTTCAATCATACTGCAAAGTGAGGGGTTGCTACATCAACTTCTCTCGTTTGCTGTTGTTTTTGGTTCTTGCGAACAATTGCACCATTTTTCACGTATTTATTTATTACCGCTAGAAGCGATAAGCTATTCGGTGACTTTATATTAGCTTTAAATATCAAATATTTGTCCCTAAAAACGCTACTATCCCAGAAAATTGATACATTCTATCTCAATCCAAGTATAATTATCTTTCTAGATCTTTCCCTATAAACGCAAATAATCACTGTAGTTGCGTTCAGTTTGTTCGCAAGCTCTTCAATTTTGCATTTCGTTGCCACAAATTTCTTTCTCAGTTCGATGCATATTTTGCAAACTGCAAAATAATGCTTTTATAGGGAAAGATCTAGAAAGATAATTATACTTGGATTGAGATAGAATGTATCAATTTTCTGGGATAGTAGCGTTTTTAGGGACAAATATTCGATATTTAAAGCTAATATAAAGTCAAAGAAGTCGCAGTTTGCAAAATATGCAGAGTAAGCGTTTTTGAATTTGTTGGAAATATGTGTTATCAAGGGATCTCATTCAATGAACTGCCTGGTCACGCATCATTCACAAAAGTTTGATGGGCCGTAAAGCACTCGCGCCGATCTGTTCAAATCAATGGTGGAAAGTGCGAATATTGAAAATTTCAAGCTTTCCATTCGTTGCATATACCAGCAACGAACAAATGCCTCACAATACCAGAGACACTAACATAATTTCTCATAAATCTGGAGACTAAAACTGCAAAATGAATCATGCCGAGGATAGTAGTGAGGCAAGCGTCAGAGTTGTGTCTAAAATGCTAGCATTGCATAATGATGCGTGCTGTATGCCAGGCTTTTAGGGTCGCCGTGGAGTAGCGGCACTGCCCTCGCTCTTCACCCAGGATGACATAAGCTCTCTTCCGTTGGACTGCAAATTTCGAGAGTATTACGTACTTCACTATAACTTTAAAAGCCTGGAGACTAGCACGATTAATTCGTAACGCTTTACTTTCGGCCACCTTTGACCGCTCACAAACGTGGTCAATTGTCGCTTAAATTTTTCATGATTTTTGCGCCCTCCCCCTTCTTGAAGATTCCCGTGAGGCCCCTGATATTGTTCAGTTAGTGAAAAAGTACACCAACATTAGGGGCGGGTGCAACAAGCTCCAACGAGTTAGGGACAGAGTCAGCCGTCCGTTGCGCCAACAAGAACAGCGAGGGGTCGTATTTGTCCAATGGAAGAGGAAGGGGTCGTAACCTCTAGCACCATTCACAAAGGTAAAAGCTGCCAACGCGTAGCTGAGGGAAAAACGAGGACAGGTTTTCAACTGCCATGCGACTACCCACCGCAGACAGTTCAGTGGCGCATCTTAGATTTCCTCAGATTTCCTACTAAAATACGACATGTTTCAGAGAGCACATGCGGAAAACTCTTCAGAGAAACTCCCCAACCTAAGACAATCAACAGTGAGGAAAATAGTGCTGCAAATTGCAGCTGCTTAACCTCTGAAGGTACTAATTAGGACCTCTGGCAGCGAGAAAGGCTTTATGTTTTTCAAAGATACTCTCGCTGTCACATCAACCATTCCACTGACCTTGTTGATGTATCATTAGTCTATACCGATTCTCAATGGCCTTGAAGAAACTTATGGTCATGTGAAGGTTGAAACTCGCATTTCAAGAGAGTGGCCTAAAAAAGCCACTGAGGAAAAACTGAACAACGGGAGCGTATTTGAAAGAGTGGTCATTTAGAAAAATCTTGACCTTCAACCTTGACCTCGACCACCTTGACCCCTTTGGAATGGGGCAAGCTTCCGGTTTCTATTAGCCTTGAAAATCTGCAAAAAGTTAATATGAAGGAAGTTATGAACGTTTGAATGTCGAAAACTCGCGCTTCTCAAAAATCGGACCACAAACCCCAAAAACGGAACAACGGGACTATTTTTTGAGAAAGTGATCTTTGGAAAAATTCAGGTGCTTTTTCGAAAGCGCTAATCTTCTAGTTTCTAATTAGCTTGAACATCTGCAAAAAGTTGATAATGAAGAAAGTTATGAACGTTTGAATGATGAAAACTCGCGTGTGCACAAAAAACGGAACAACGGGACGATTTTCTGAAGAATTGAACATTTGCATAGTTTGAAAAAATTTTGAAAAGAAAACAATTTGGAGTTTTCAAATTTTTGTATCCCATCTCATGAGACCGCTTTTGAAGAAAGATATAACCTTTTGAATGAAGAGGTTTGTATCGTAACGTAATTGCTGCAAGGTTAGTTATTCAGTTTATAAAAAAGGAGATTGAGAGTTCGAAAAAACTTGGTGGGTTTCTGAAAGTAGAAATCTCTGCGATTACTACCATGCCTATTACGCAAAAATTTGGAAATTCCTTCTATTTAATGAATAAAACTTCATGTTGCCTCGATCCTCGTCCTCTGAGCGAGACTAAGCGCGCGAACCTTTTGCTGTCCACGGGTCTACCGTCCGTTGGACAAAAAATAAAGAAGGGTCGTATTTGGTCAACCGCAAAGGGGGGCCGTATTTGGAATACCACTTTGGATTGCAATCGGATTTATATGCCGGAAACCACTCACAGACTCGACGATTTGCGGAAAAGGAGGAACGGAGGCAAAGGAAAACGTTCACAGACAACGCAGAAGCGGCTGCAACTATGCAGGATCAAAGGGCGCGCATATGTCCGTCTCCTACCAAAAGTGTCCTCACCCATTGTAGCAAATTATTATTGCAAACATTTTTTGTATCGACTCATTTCGCCCTAAGCACAAAAAGTGCGGCTACTGATCATTATTCAAACATTTTTTGAAAAACTCGATAGCCCATTAACCGAAGCTTCTTTCCACGCCTTTTGTAACAATGCCTAAGTATGGCGCATACATCACGTAAATAAGTTACCTAAAATGTTTGAAAACCAGCTTAAAAAAGACTGTGACATGACATCATGTCACACGGTCCCACGTGGCCGAAAGAGTGTGGTATGACATCATACCACACGGTCCTCAACGTGTTAATCCGCTCTTTCCGATCTTGAAAATTTTATCGCAAAGCCCTGCTCTCCTACTTTGTTTGTATAAAACCCACAATTACAATGTGGTTCTCTTCCCTCCGCAAGAAACACATATAGTGATCAGAAAGTTCAAGTTTTTCACGAAAATTGTGCTTTGTTGATCGTTCTCCAATCCGAAACACCATTAGCCTCTCCCATAAAAAACACCCATCATCGACGGAGAAAAGAAAGTGCAAGCCGGTCAGTATTGGATTTTGTGGGTATGCCGAATAAATGAGGATGAGTATTCCATTACCTATAGAAACTGAAAGACGTTTTTTTCCAATAAAGTTTCCATTTCGTGTCCTACATTGGATACGATTGTTGCCGTATAATCTGCTCTTTTGCGTAAGTTCATCCAGTTCCGAACACAGCTATAGAAAATCAAAAATGTCGGGGCTCTCAGAGTTTAGGATGTCGAATAGCGCATCGAAAGTTTTCAGAGCTCTTCAGACAGTGCAGTGACGGCTACATCATAGAATGCTGATGTGGTACTATATGGTTGAGGCAGTAGACGTATTTTCGGCTATACGTGGGAGCTAACTGTAGCCACTTCGATTCTACGGATCAATGTTGTTGGCCATTCCGGTTCATGGTGGCTTGTAAGGTTACATACAAGCCGTGTGGTACGTATTCAGGGGTGGCAAAAAAAGAGACACGTTGCCCATGGCGCACATCATCACTTTTCGTCGCACAGGGTGCCACTGTTGATGAAAGTTTTACGGCAAAATATCCCTTAGATGTCCTCCATAAGTAGAAGCAGGCCCTCCTCCACTGCCCTCACCGTCCTCAAAATATGACGTCATCTTCCATCACCGTTGAGCTCAAGAAGGCCTACCGTAATCGTTCCAGCCTGAAGCTGCTACGAATTTCTTTATCTTTTCACTGTCAGATTGCTTCGTAGGGACACTATCTCTGAATATGCAGGACCCCTTCGAGACCAGCATGTCAGACGCGCCGTGATGGTCTATCCAGGACTAGTTAAGCTCGAACCGTGATTCCCATGGCGGATTCTTGTGATGTCCTTGGTGCAGAAAGCTATTATAAGCGTCTATTGATAGAACGGGATGTGCTC